ATGGTGCCCATAACTCAGTATCTTTGACGATTTGGAGTTTGAAGAGTAAGGGTTTAGCTTTTCATTTACGTAAAAGTTTACTTTGGACATATTCTCAAGGTTATATGGGATTTTTCATAGAACTTTTAACCAGGGAGGGTAAGATAATACTCACTTAGAAAGGAAAAAAGACTGGGGCCTATCCACATGTCAATATGTTGAACCTTTATTTTTATTCAGTTACTTTTGTTTGAAAAAAATTATTTCTGAAAGTAAATGTTTTTGCTCAAAAGTTAGGTGAAATTAGAGGTTTTTATGAAATTACTTTGTTTAACAAAGCAGAAATTTGCATATGCCATAGTAAGTAAACTGTTCTATATCATAGAACTCCCTATACAGTGACAAAAAAAATGCCATTTTATGACTTCTTCCACAGTATTTTTTGTTTTAAGTTTCTTAGCCTCTTACTGTGGCTTCAAAAATTCTCTGCTGTGTCTCATAAAATAATGTATGAAAGCAACTTACTTTTAAATCTACTAAAAGTTGGCCATTGATTATTCATAAGAAACATCTCCTTTCCTTATTAGACAGCATTTCAGTTTTGCTCATCAATAAATGAGATTTCAGTCTCTACCTTATAGTTTTCTGCCTTCAATATTATATCCTTCATGAATCTACTTAGTTGATAAGGAAGCAGATGGGAAATACTAATTAAATACACAGAGAAATAGTTACTTGCCATGCTCTCATAGTGCTAAGGGCCAAGTCATGGAAAAAGAGACCAAACCAGAAAATGTAGATATCCTACTGCAGGAACCTCAGACTCAAACGCCTGAGGACAATTGGAATCAGTGAAGTAAGTGCACTGGATGTTAGGTAATAGAAATGGCGGCGGTTGTGGCAGATGTGAACTGCATCCAGCTGTTGTTGCCATATGGGAATATGGATCCATGATAAAAGATGTTTGATTGATTTTTCAAGAGAAGTCAAGAATTCAGAATGTTTCATAAAATTTCCCAATTTGTAAAATATTATGATGATGAAACAAAGCATGCCTGTGGGTTAAGTCCTGGCTGTGACTTGCCCATCAACAGCTCCTACTTCCAGAATTACAACCATGGAAACAGCCAGAATTCGTGGTATAAAGCTATTTCCCCTTGGAGTGGATCTGTGGTTTTAAAGAGCAAAACATGGCAATGAAATGAAATGAAATGAAACATAAACCTGTTCACCATGCTTACTCAATATCTAAAAGGAAAACAAAAGAGAAGATCGTGGACTTAATTTTCTTTTTTTTTTTAAGCTGAGCCATCCTGCCACCTGTTGGCAGCTCAGTGGCTGCTTAGCTCGGGCCAGGAATCGAACCGCTGTTGCTCAGAGCTCACACTCTTGAGCGAGCTCTTAACCAACTGAGCCACTTGGCCGTCCCTGTGGACTTAATTTTCTTGATGCAATCACATAGCTGAGAAAGTGGAAGATTATAGTTTAACACATTTATAATTGATTTTGTAGTCTTATATACACACTCTATGTTTCAAAGATAATCAGTTGTATATAATGTTTGTGTGCAATGATGAGATTCAATTACTAAGTAATATCAATTTATTCTGGCTGGATACTAGCTCTCTGAATTACAATTCTCTCACCTAACTCTAGGACCCTTCTTTGCAAAATACAGAGAGGTTTTTGAATTGTTTCATTTAAAGCAATAATAAAGTGAAATATATGGCAAAGTGACAGGAGGCATGAAAATCAATATATAGTTGCAGGTGTTGATTATACCCTCTGTCAGTTATAACTAAAATATATGGCAATAACTCATAGGTTCTATGTCGCCTCTGTTTTTCCCAAGAAGCACACATTTGGGGAAGCTTTATGTATTAACTTACTGGGCACACAGAACTTTATTTGTAAAGACCATTGTGCTTGCATCAGGAGTAGAATTTTAATCCAGCAATGTCTTCAATATTCTCATTTCCAACACTTTGTAAAGTACATTATATATATATATATATATATATATATATATATATATATATATATATATATATATATATATATATATGATTTCAATTGAGAGGGTTGGCAAATACTTTCATATAAATAAAAAACTAACAGGAAAACATAAGCATTCAGTTAAATCAGGGGCTTATTATTCATGCCATACAAAGAGGTTTCTTCAGCATTTAAATAACTATTTAACAAGTTAATAAGTTTAATGTAAGGTTTATATTAACACAGAAAAGAAAAGGTGTGTTGTAATTTTGTTGATTTAATCAATGATAAGCAACCATACTGGAACATTCAAATAATGATCAATGGTACTTGAAATGATCCAAATTTCCGATGTTCTTTAATCAAATTTGTCAAAATTTGCTTATTTTCTCCTATAGAAGTAGCCATACAAATATATGTTAGCCATTTTATGTGAACAGACTCAAATCTCAGATGCCCTTCCATCTCTCTTCTGATCCACACTTGCTCGCCTGATGTGTGACCATGTGGTGGCCATAGGGACAAGTGGGAATCAGTACGCTTGTAACAGACTTTTAAGGTTGAAACTGGGAAGTGGAGCAACTACTTAAAAGGTTTCTGTTTTTATTGTGCAGATAATACTAAGTCACTGAAAAAGTTTTAATAAAAATTGTTTTTAACACTTCAGTTTTCTGATTTTTTTCCCCCAGAAGTTGATAGACTTTGTTAGTCAACTCAGGTAAAATCACTTTCAACTCACTCAAGCATCTGGTTTGGGTTTGTTGAGTTCAATGACTGAAATAAATATTTAATAGAATCAATGCACATTTTCTTTCATTATAAAAGTATGTTAATATTGTTCCAAAGCTCTAAATAATCATATATTTTTATCTTTATTAAATTTATTGGGGTAATATGGGTTAGTAAAATTATACAGGTTTCAAGTGTACAATTCTTTTTCTTTTTGAAATGAAAACTTATTTTATTTCAGTACTTCTATCACAAACTTAGCAGACATCAGTCCTGTTTTAGATATTTTTATAGTTTAATAGATTTAAATCAGGAAGTTTATCACTTAGAAATTATTGTGTGACACTAGCCATCACGAGCCATGCCGTGTGCAGTAAATAAAGCTGATCTCTATTTGACTGCTTGAGTGTTCCTTCATTTTGGCCCCACCATGAAATTCAGTTTCCTTAGTTGCAAGACACTCTAAACAGCCCAAACACTTGTTATAAATGACAACTGCCATCAATAGCTTTTTTTAAAATTTATAGTATTAGGGTTATCAACAATTTTATTCTGAATTACTTACATTTGTTTCCAAGCAATGCATTTATTTAGTAGGATGCCAGTTACCAGTCATCAAAACTTTCTTATGTTGAAAATGTAATTTTAATAGACAATTCTCCATCTTACATAGGAGCACAACGAAATACACCACATTCTGAAGAAACTCCAGAAGTTACAAAAGTAAGAGTGGGGAAATTCAGATGCGTTATAATATCGATTATTTTAAAGCTGTGAGAGACAGGGTTCCGACCCACAGGTTAACATTTACATACTTGGACTGGCTACAGTGATGACTTAAAAACAAGAATCAAGAATTAGATATGGAAAGGGGTGGGAAAGAAGAGATTTGGGGGGAGGAGCTCTGTCAATACAGAAAAAATTACCGAATAAGAAATTAAAAAATAAAAGGAGCGCCCATAGCAAACACTAGAGAGATAAAAGGAAGAATCAGTAACAGGACCGGATGCTCTCAAAGAAAAAAGCCTTTCTGATGACACTTAGGCAAGCTGGTTGCTGCAGAGTTGCTCGTCAGGGCTCTAAGGAAAACTCAAATGCCTCAGCAAACCCCAAATGATCATCAGACTGGTGTTTCCTAATAACACACACCAGTGGTCACACATGAAGTCTTCAGACAAGAACTAAGAAAAAGGTCATAACCCCAATGCCTGTCACAAATGTGGCACAACATGTAAAGTCAGTCACAACTGCTGCTTTGCTATGACTCTCGTGTACAGTAATTTTCAAACACTGTGGCAAGACATCGATGATCTTCTAGCTAATCAGACAACACAAACACATATATTTCAAATTTCTAGGTGGTAAAAAACACGTTAGGTACTGATGCTTTATGTATGCTCAGGGCCAGCTTAAAAATACTCCATTCAGTGATAGCTTAAACATAAATCTGCATCAGTGAAAAGAACCTGGCAAAACCTACCTCTTACCATTTAATTTGTCAGATGGTGAAGACCAGAACAGAACGTTTCATCAGTTTTAATTTCTAAATACAATTGTCACATTGGGAAAATGAAATAAACACAGTAAAATAAACTGTACAAAGGCAAATTAGAATAACAAAAATATTTTATTAAAACAAGATTTACAGAAGTTTCCAGACATGTCATACAAAATGGTCACAAGCTTTTTCTTGAAGGGAGAATTCTACACTTGATAGCAAAGTCAAAGTGTTATGAGTGAGGGCTGTGATGGTTGTTTAATGCTCCCATTTTGGTTCAAACAATCAAGCTTGTCCATCTTCTACAGCATCTAAATAAAGATAGACTTGGCTAGAGAGCATATTCTAAAGAACTGGTTAGCTGCTTTTAACCAATGCAATTAGATCACCATAAAAGGGGGGGAAGGAGCCCATAAAGTTAAAATAAAACTACTTTCACCCTCAAAAAAACAAAAACAAAAACAAAGAAAAACACCCACACCCCTGTAGCTAACCCTGACAATGACCTTCATTCACAGTGCTTTATACTTAAACCATGATGAGGGAAATGAATAAAAGCAGAGAGGGTTCCACTGCTTTTAAACATTTTGCAACCATCTTCTAGCCTCTGCTCATGTTTTCTAATAGTGAATCAGGACAAGACATAAATTTTCTAATGTGCGTTTAATCACCAAAGGACTGAAGATGTCTGGACTTTTATTGTGTTATGTTTCTAAGACTGTGTCCATTAAATGAAAACAAAAAAGGATGAAGTCTTGGCAGAACAGGAGAAATGATGCACACTGATGATCAGCTCGATTTAAATATTATTCATGGCATATAGACTAGTCCATACACTAGCAGTTTCCATGTCTGGGGCTTCGTTGGTCTCCCACTGCTCCGCTATGTCATTTGCTAATGGGTCATCTGGGTTGGGAGCATTTAACAAAGCCTGGATCGATAGCAGGACTGTGTGGATCTGCAGTGCTGGAAACCACTTACCTTTCAAAATATCTAAACATATGCTTCCCAACTTGTCTACATTAGAATGATAAATTTTGGTCATGAAACGTACTTTACGGGCTGCCATTGGGTATTTTTCTGGAAGGAACAGTTCAAGTTTAAAAGTCCCTCCCTTAAAGAGGGAAACCTGGGGGCCAGCAATGGCCACATGAAAATAACAGGCATTGCTTTCATTTGGTTCTGCTCTGATGCCAGGAACTGGTTCTGCCAGCAAAAGCTGAGTTTCCTTGATAATCCTGCGGAGCAGCCCGGCCAT